ACTGAGAACAGGAACATCAGGTTTTTTGTTCTTTTTTTTGTGGAAATCTTTTTCTCCCCCCAGTCAGTGGAACAGGGGGAGGAAGGATGAATCCTTAGCTTACTAACGTCCCTAATTTCCATCAACAGCTTCCACCTAATTATTTGAAGTGCCTAAACACTTTTGATGCTGGCACTGATGCCCACAAGAACGTAACTATAACTTGTTCCGATCGCCATGAGATCCAAATCCAAGCTTACAGGGTACCTATGTCTTCAGATTACATCAGCGTAGCTGTAGTCTTCCTCTCTGCCCCGTCACCCCAAGCCTGTCCCAAAAGATCAGCCTCAAGGTATTCACACAGTAACTGGGACACAAAAAGGAGTTCCTGAGTACCGCATAATTTCCTAAGGCTTCTGTAGATACGATATCCACGGAGGCCTTTATCACCTTGAATAAACAAGTAATATTTAATGCATACCAGGGTATAGGTGAGGGCGAGATAGGGTAAAGATACACCTGTATAAAGAAGTCGAGACCTGTCTGCCTGCCGAGTTCATCTGATCGTAAGACTTGCATTGGATTTCAGGTGAATTCTCATTTATGAGAACAGAGAGAATTCACCAGTACTGCCAAAATCCATCAGTAGCCCACTGTTACTTTACCCTGCAGCCCCTGCCCATTTTTTAAAACTATCTTCTACCTCATACATCTTATTTCTCACATGAACTTTTCTGGATCAAGTTTTTCAATGGAACTGATTAATAAGCAAATATATGCAACGCTTCTGTCATGACAGGCTCGTTTTAGAGAATTAACCTCCCAGATCAACCTGACATACGGATGACCTACAAAAGCTGATATGAAGTGGAGAGGAAATAGGAACCTCAGCTAATCAAGCCACACCGACTCACCAAGCACAGCTGAGAAAGATATTTTTTCCAGGCACAGTAAAGGTCGGTTTTCGAGACTGGATGTTTTTTAATCCTCCTCCTCCGACTCTATGTGAGAAAAGGAAGAGACATTTTACCCTGCTGCTTTTGTTTTGGTTTTCTTGGGTTAGGTTTTTGGTTGTTTTTTTGATTGGTTTTGTTCTGTTTTTTTATTTTTTGTAGTTGGGTGGTGGGTTTTTATTTGGGTTTTTTGCAGGGGGGTTTTGTTGTTGGTGGTGGTTTTTGTACAAATAGGATAGGCTGGCTGTATATCCAGAAAAGAAACAGAAAATCATCTTCTGGCAGAGGTTGATTTCTAAGGGTCCAGACATACCAGCAGAGCTCCCACCAGCAACATCAGGTGAGAGCACTGACACCGTTCACTACATCTCCTAGATATAATATCACTGTCACTGTGACATGCAGAAGAAGTGCTGCTAACCCTTAAAGGGCTGAGCCTTGCTGTGGATAATGCTAGAGTGAAGTAAGTATTACAAAAAGCTTTGTCGACATCACACTCATTCAGCTTCTGAAAAGCTTTTTAGATTCTTTTCTTTTTCATCTCCCATTTCTGCAGTAGCCCAGAAGTCTAGCTCTAAAGCAGGTAACCCCATCAAGTAGCATTAACTCCTGTTGTGCTGAGGACCGCCACGGCAGATAATCTCATCCTGACAATGCTGTCACATGCGGGCGGTGATTGTTGAGGTAGACCACAAAGCCTTATACAGCCTTATCTGGATGGACTGAGAAAAGTTAGTCTTACATTGACCAGTCTTTTGTAAGGAATCCCAAGGATTTAATCGAATTGCTCATTGGCTCAGAGAGACCCAAGTTGGTATTGCCATGCGGTGCCATTCAAAGGAGGATGGGAAGTCAAATGATGACTCCCTGCCACGTCTCTCATTTTTATTAGTCCAACTTGTGTGACCTGGAAGCAAGTCCCATGGCTTGTACTGCCTTCATCTCAAAAGGAGGAGCAGGTTCTATGTACCACATACTGAACAGAGAAGCACCGAAACCATCCAAGCGCCTCGCTTACTGAGCACAGACAGGATCCTGCATTGTAAGCATTGCTTGGCAGCAGTTTTGGCTTTCCAAATAGGCAGTGTTTTCTCTGGGCAGGCTGGTCTTCTCAGCAAACAGCGTACATGGTCTTAGAGCCCAAGTACAACCCCTAAAAACGTACAGAATTGCCTATAGCCCTAGTAGTAATACAGGTGGTGCTGTCAAGATAAAAAAACCAAACATGGTTTCATAAGGGAATACCTTCTCTCTGCTGGTTCATTAGGTACGCAATAGTAAAAACCAAAAATGCCTTTTGTGTGCATTTATGATTGCAGCCAACAGGTTTATGTTGTGAATCACTATTTGAAATGCATTCCCACACTGAAGTGTATTAAGAAAACATTATGGGGTCTCCTGTAAACCAGCAAACTGCAGGAGAGTCAGAGTTGAAGCTGAAATTGCACACTTGATATACTTCATTATATCTAGGTGTGCACTGAATAGCTTGTAATAATACTCACTATTCCAAACGCTTTTGATACATGACCAGAGGCTGTTTTGTGGGCCTAGAAACTGTATCACTGCAGGAGGCCTGGGAACTTGGGAACCGAGACCAGCTGTCTTCATTTTGATGGGACACTTACTATTTATTTTTTATTTTAATTTTAAAGGCTAGCTCGTAATTTATCTACCTTCATTTTTTAGAGCCCCACATGTAACTCGCCAGGCAGAGCGCTAAAAGCTTACTAGTGCTTTCTGAATCCAGGCTCTGCTTAACACAGCTGTGGTGGCTCCCGCCTGCTTGTTTCAATATCCTCTGCCACAAGAGTATAAGGATACACAGCAGAAGAGCAGACAGGGGAACCAAACTAGCGTCAACTTATAAAGACATACCTCAGAGCATCAGAAAAAGGAAACAAACAAACAAAAAAAACCCCCAAAAACAAAACAAAAAAAAAACTCTTTTGGTTTAGAAAACCCAAGGAATTTAAAAAAAAAATAAAATAATTAAGCATATGAACCTATTCTACCTTTTTCTGTCCAGGTTTCTCAGGGTTGAGTTTCACCCCAAGGAGGCGACTCTCTAGCAGGAGCTTCCAGGAGTTCCCAGGCTGCACTGGATCCAGTTTCAGGTGCTCAATCAATGCTACTGCACTGTGTCCACAAGACTGAGAAGCCTATTACTGCCCTCAACTCTTTCCGGTGACCTCCTTCGGTAACAGCACATTTCATTTCCCACCCCCAGATCCACACAGCACTCCACATCAGCACAGTGAAGGGACTGGAATCAATCCTTAGAGAGGTCTCAGCCAGTCCGAAGTGCTGGGCTCAGCCCTGCTGCCTTTACATAAAGCCAGAAATATCTGTCAGTATAAACTGGCAGCGCTTTTCTGCGCTGAAAGAGTTCTGCATAACTCAGTAGTGCCCCCATCTGTAAAATGAAGAAATTACATTTCCTTTATAGGATGCTCTGAAAACTACAGCCAGAAAGGGAACTACAAGAGTAAGGTGCTACAATTAGCAATTGCTTTTTTCTTTTTTTTTTTTTTTTTTTTTTTTTTTTTTTTTTTTTTTTTTTTTTTTTTTTTTTTTTTTTTTTTTTTTTTTTTTTTTTTTTTTTTTTTTTTTTTTTTTAATATTATAGTAATTATAGTAAATACGTGGAGTAAGTCACAGAGTGCTTCCATTTTCAAGGCTAAGCCATCACGGCATTGTTCCACCCTATCTCATTTCTGCCATACATTTAACCTTTTATGTCCTATTTCTCCCATAAAAATCCCTAAATATCCCAAGAAACACAGTTCCCAGGATATTTGTCAGCCAGCTGAAACGAGGAGGTGTTTGAATCTTCATGAGAAAGCTTGCTCACATATGATGTGGAACCACACTTCAGGTAGCATTTCCTCTGCAAATTCTAGAGATTAATTAGCTAGCCATAAAAGAATAAATATCAAGCCTAGAATTATGGGAAGGAGGGGAGTTATGCTTTTACTTCAATTAGGAGAGTTGAAGGAAAGCAAAAACATCATTACTGTATGCCCGATCAACTTCCTAAGCAAGCAGAACCAGGAAATAAGATCACTATCACTTTTGACTTCCAGAATGCCCAGCACTGTCTTTGCAGTCACTTTTATTATTTTTAACATGAGAAGCAATCTAACAGACAGAAATCCAGGCCCCTGCTACCCCATAAAGAAGGCAAGAAACAGCAGTATTCTATCTAAACACAGCGGTAAGACCAGGATGACCATTCTGGGCTCATTTTCAGTTGTGTTATGAAGTTTAAATGGAAGCAGATTGAACCTAAGTCGTGAAAGTCAAAACTTCCCTCCTTGTACAGCATGCGGGCACAAACTCTTCTTTGTGCAAAACTAAAGCTATTAAAAGCCAAGTATATATGACCGTCCTCCTTTTAAATTGAGGCTATTGATCTAGCTATATTTACAAGTGGCAATTTAAACTTCAGCAACACTGTCCGCAGAGCATACATGAATGTGGGGGAGTGACAAATAAAGCAGGAGAGATTCCCAAGTGGCCTCTGCCAGCATTATCCTGGTCAAGTAAAGCACCGGCAAGCACAGCGAACTTTGCTAGCGTGTACGAGCTGCCTGAGTCAGGAAGCACGTGGCCATATTCATAACACTTTCCTACGTTAGAGTCAACGTATCAAGCACGCCACCAAAACTCGGCAAGGAAACTCCAATAGCACCAATGTTAAAGAGATTCCCCCAACAATGAGGCTGCACCTTCCTCTATTGAAAGCACACATGGGAATGAATTTTGCAAGGCAGGAATCTACAACTTCCTACGAAATCAAAATACACTTCACTAGATGTTTTTCCTCTTGTATCCTTCAGCTCATCACTGACCTTTTGTAGACTTCTGGGCAGTGTTTTCATATGCTTTGCTTATTTTAAAAAAGAAAAATTAACATCAACAAATTTCTAGGTTTCAAGAAATCTCTCCTAAACCAAATAATCTTTTTAAAATGTTCCTCCTGAAGGTTTCCTGTGAAATATCTCATTTTCCTATTCAGATTCATTTTTAAGCTGTTAAGAAAATTGTGATCTCACAGGTACTCACAGAAATTTTTCCAGTAAGATTGGCTTCCTCTCTTTCTGCCAGGGCCCGCAAAAAGTTATCTTTCAGTTCTTTTCCTACACTTGCTACTGACCTAGAGAAAAAATGGTACAATTATTACTATTAATTATTGCCACAGACTTTGGGTTCACCGTTAAGCGTTCCGTAAATATAAGGAGACAGTCCTCACCCTACCATAGCTACTTTGTCTACTGCCTGTTCTGCTTTTAACAAACCCTTAAACCACTCTTCAAAATTCATCGCTACTGCAGATGTAAGATATAATAGTAGTTTATCAAAAGGTGACTTCTACCAACACACATTTTCAGTTATATATCCGGAGTAATCTAAGCGCTTATTTTATATCTCCAGAATTATGGCCAAAGTCATGTTTACATAAGAATACCAAATTTGCACAGTGTACCAATATAAACTTGAACAGATTTAATACGTCATTCTTCAGCCAGCAACTAATCAAATGAAGTACTACATACTCAGACTGCTTGGTGTGGTAGGGTCAATACAGTTTCAGTATCCTTAAGTACAAAGCATGAAAAGAAAAACCAATTTTGCTCCATAAAAACTCGCGCAAAGAAAAAAAAAATCACAAGAAAGGATACCATACACTAAAAATTACTTGTTAGCCTTTGAACATAGCGCCCTAGAATTCAAACAGTCATTAAAAATAGAAAACACGCATCAGATGGACAAAAGCACTGAATATTGGACAAACCCTTCAACAAAAACGTCGTTCTTTCAAATGGTTTCTACGAGTCTCTCAGCATAATCTAAAGCCCTTCCCCATCTGCAGGGGTCATTGTACTCACTTCAGTGTACTTTGCACACACAAGAAGGAAGCGGAGACTTCCTAAATCCTGCACTAAAGTGGCTTCACCGGGAACTCTTCTCCTTTTGATGTCTAAAGTAGCGAATGCTGACTGGAAAGCATGCTCTCAGGCAACTCAAGGCAAACCAGTGCCTCCGAGTTCAGCACAGATCTACCTGAAAGGGGAAGAATTATTACATCCCCCCCACTATCTTGATGCGAGTATTTCAATAAAAAGCAGTAGCATTTGTCAACCTAAGTAGACAGAATACAGCATAAATAAGGATCTCTCTGTCAAGTGTATAATGTATCAAGTTTCAAATAAAAAAGTGTCACAAAAACTGAGAAATTCCCTTTGTTAACTTTTTAAATATAGACATGCATGGTAATGTCCTTAAACCGAGTGAAAAGCCTGCATCTAAGCTCCAAAACTCTGTTGTAGAGCTATCAGGTCAATCTCTGGCCGCTTCACCAGCTGTAATCCAGAAGTACATTAGTTTGAAGCTGTTTCAGAAGTGCCTCTGCTGCACTGTAAAAATAAAAAATGAAAGACTAACATATGGATTAAAACACCTCAATTAATTAGACGTAAAAGATGGATAAGAACTGGAGTATCATATTTTCCTTTTCCTGTCCAGTTAAGAATTCTAGATTCCCAAAGTCTTCCTTTCTCTGGCAGAGGTTAATACTAAATCAACAATAAATCCATGTTTAACAACTGTTCTAGCCAACTTCACTTGAAGTTTGCGGCTCCTATTTTGAACCAGAAGAAGGGTGTGGGTGCCTGAAAGATTATGTGTTTTTATCCACTTAAATCTTACGTTCCAATAAGAGACGTCACCTTTCCTTAAAAACCTTGGCTTCCTCCCATCTTTCAATCACCAGCCAAATAATCACTGACCCCCTTGCAGAACACTAAGATGTATACAACTTCTTTTTTAGTAAATATCATTACTTCTGCATTAGAACACACTGAGCCATGCCTGAAATCAAGCTGCACTGTTCCTGAAAAATAGGAGGTATCACCAGGTGACCCTGTCTAGGTCAAAAATCACGGAGTGTTAAAACACAGAGCTAAAATATCGTAAGGCAGCAGCTTTTCACAATCCTTGAGGTAATTCCAAAAAGGCATTATTGTGCCTTACTTGCTGTGTTGACTACTTGGGGTCTATTTCAGTAAGTCTTAACGCCTGAAAGATGCAAGATGAGAAAAGGCATCATCTGATACATATGTATTTTCCATACACTGTTCTCAGCGACAAAGCCCCCCTTGCTCTGTAGAAGATGCTTCAACATCTACAAAATGAATGGGGAAAAAAAAAAAGAAGTCTGGATTTAACTAAAATAAATTCATTCTCCTATGGCCCGTGAGAAAAACCATCAACAATAACACTATGGCTGAATAAAACATTAGGAATGCAACGCATCATGGTTGAAGCGACACCGAAGCCAGATCAATACTAAGCTCTGCTCCAAGTAACTGGCTGCTTTTTTGTAATAAAGAGCGGGGTGGGACAGAAGACACACACCGCCCCCCTATATATAGTAATATACTATTACTGTATATACTATTACTGGATAAAGAATAACAGAAGGTAGCGCTGTTAGATTTGAATCGCAAAGAAAGCAGAAATAGGCTCAGGTTATTCTGAGGTAAACCTTAATAAATTTAGAAAACAAGAGTGTTGGAGAGAATGAGGAGCTTAACACTTAAAGCCTGAATTCTAAAACTCCAGGATCTGGAAGCATCCCCCAGCACCTAAGCAAGTATTTCCTGAGGTAGGGACAAAGACCTACTTGGTAGACCTTGTGCTTTTTTTAACTGGCAAGGATTCGCTCCTTTTATTTCCTGCATGAATGTGTACGTTATTTCTTTGAGTCCTAGTCTTTTTCAGTTCTTGGCCCCTTGGGACATGCATCCTCTGCCCCACTATCCCCATCTTTCCTCTCCGGGCTTGCCCACACAGAAAGAGTGCACCCGTTTACCTTAAGGGAGATTTTCAACGAAGGTAGTTACAAAAGGTCACATAAATATTCTTAAGACTGGCTTAAACTAGGCTCATTTCAGTATCAAACGTAATCAATTAGTAACTGACCTGACTTAAACTGTCCACAAGGAATTGCAAGCTTCTGCAGACGTATATTTGCATTGAACTGGTTTAAAAAAAAAAAAATCGGTTTGACTTTAGTAAACTGTACATAAAGAATTGCAAGCTTCCGGAGACATAAATGTGCAATGAACTGCTTAAAAAAGTTCCCGTTATACATGGTTCTCATCTGAATAAGGCCACATATTCACTATGAAGATGCAGCATGTACGGAAACATTGTATGAGCATTTGTTACCGGCCAGTCTTTGAGAAAGAAAGGAGACTTTTCTCTCCCTGCCACAGCAGCAGGTACATTCTCCACACTCTAGTTTACCATCACAGCAGAAGACTGAGAAGAAAAGATCAAGGCATTCCACTCTGCAGAAGTTCCCACACACATAAACAGGCGGAATTTCTGGGGTGTGACTAGTTAGGAATTCACGAAGGCCATGTAATGTTTGTTCCAGCTTCCTGCCAGGTGAGATGAGGGAGTTCTCCGAGCAGGGAGGAATTCTCTAGCACCCACCAAACACTACTCCTCTCTAATGAGGGTTACTTAACTTACCATGACCTAAAAATTGCTGTTTAAATGAATTAAAAAAAAAAAGTTACTTCCTAAAACCTGTATTAGGTCCTTCACAAAGCTAGAGAATTACACATTATATACTAGTATAGAAAACATTCTTGCAGGTTACAACAGCCCTTGAAAAGGAGAGCACAAAATATTTCATTCTTAGCATCAATGATGCATCTCCAGCATGACACATGTAACCGTAACATTCATGCGCTGCCCGAAACTACTCCTACAATTCAGTTCATGCCTCAGCATACTTACTGAAGGATGCTTTAGAGTGAAAGCCCAATTTACGAGGCAGCATTATCTCAACAAGGCACTCTGATGCTAACTGCAGTCACCTGTACTCATCACTGTACATTTCTGACTGACGATATTTTTTTTGTCATCTGCACCACATGGGTAGAGGCCCATACCGAGAGCAGGATGTTACTGTGCTAGGTGCTGTACAATCCTCCTGTTTTGGTGAGCTTTGAAACCAAACACCCAGGCACAGAAAAGCCGTGTAGAAAAAGTAAAGTACAGAAGGTTATATTCTCATTTTTCAAATGGATATCCGAGACATGCAAAGATTAAGCAACGTATCCAAAGATAACACAGAATGTCTCTTCAAAGATGTTGTTATTGTCACCAGCCTGGTGGCAAATGCTCTATAACTAGTTGTGTTAAATATTAATTCCTATATTAACTTCTCACCTTCTGAAGATATGCTTTTACCGCGCATACAGAAGAGGGAGCATTAACAACGATTAACACTCATCACTACAGTGTCCTTTAACGGAAGCAATATTGAAAAGAAGTATTACAGTTTAGCAAAAATAGAAGGGATACTTTTCTAAAGTAACTTGTTTGGTTACAGAAACTCCTAGTGATGTTAACACTATTAACTGTTGGTTGCTGCTTTTAATTCCATAAATACAATTCTTACTTTACGATGCTCAAAGTTTCACTTAAGAAACCATGCATTTCCACAGTGTCTTGTTCCTTTAAGCTGCCCTTCTCCTTCCAAGAGCTCCTACTATCTTCCACCATCCCACACACCCTTCTCACATTCCCAGTTCAGATGCCTTTTGCTTGCAGCACGCTTTTTTCGTTTTCCATGATAGGCGTTAGTGAAGAAGAAAGAAGGAAAGCTCTTTTTGAACTTGGGTTAGTGCTCCTTGATTCTTATTCTGACAGGCTACAGTGCTCCCCCCCCCATTTTGTTATGGTTCCCTAGGGCTTCATTTATTTTATTTTCCTACATCTTCTACCATGTTGGCTTTTCCTGAGAGCACTGGAGTCACAGTTGGAAACAGAACAATGTAGTTTAACTTTTAGAGAGCCCTGTTGACCTGAAGAATGCTTTTTATCAAACTGAGATAATGGGAAGAACATCTAACAGTCACATTGTTATTCTTTCAAAAGTACGCTCCATGTTCCAGTTCAGCAGAAAGCCGGACTGGAATGCACACACTTGCCTAACTTCTGCAAAGCAGCTGTGTTTTGCAAACACCTGCCCCAGGATTAGTGGGGAGACAGGCGTAAGAACTCGGTCCCAAAGTTTCTCCCTCATCTCGAGACACGTAATTTTTATTTTAAAACATCTGAAGTTTCAACCTCCCAGTGCCATGCACTTACGGCATTGTGTCCTGAGGCAGGACTATTACTTGAGCACTGTTCCAAGACATCAGATGTCTATTTGTTTTCTGTACGTGAGGTATGCATGCTTTAAAAAGAAGGCAGAGACTACAGTACAAGATCATACCTCAGAGACCAGGGTGTAAGGCTGG